CCGCGAGCTTTTTTAGCCGGCAGTTCATACTGCATCCTCCGGTGGACAAAGCCAAGCGTCGAGTGACCAGAAGGCTGCACCAACTGCCAACAACCTGTGCCCCTCTTGCTTTCACTTGCGGTGAAATTCAGGTGGCCATCGGGAAGGCCAAAGCCTCCAAAGCCATGGGTCCCGACGGAATATGCATGCTGATGCTGAAAAATTTGGGTCCTGCGGGGATAACGTACCTAACGGAGGTCCTCATTTTGTCTATGGCTACTCTCATCATCCCAGGCATCTGGAAAGTGGGGAGAGTGATCCCACTGCTCAAACCGGGGAAACCCGCCAGCAAAGCAGATTCTTATCGTCCGATAACACTCCTTTCCTCGGTAGCGAAGACACTCGAGGCCTTGCTACTGCCGTATTTCACAAACCGCTTGACCCCAGCGAAGCATCAGCGTGGTTTCCGTAAAGTGCACAGTACAACAAAAGCACTTAACGCCATAAACACACAGATAATTCATGGCCTTAACCTTCCGTCCCTGTGAGAGAACGATATGGAGTACGGTTGGATTTGTCAAAGGCATTTCACACCGTCTGCCATTCCACGCTACTAGAAGATATAGAGGCCTCCTCTCTCCCACAGAGGGTCAAACGATGGTCGGCAAATTATCTGAGTGGTCGACACTCGTCTGTAATGTTTAGAGACAAATCGAGTAAACTCAGGAAAATAAAGCAGGGGGTTCCACAGGGTGGTGTCCTTTCCCCGCTACTGTTTAACTTTTACATTTCAAAGCTCCCTCAACCACCAGAGGGAGTCTCGATTGTCTCTTGCGCCGACGATTGCTCGATCATGGCGACTGGGAATGGAATTGATGACCTGTGTTCGAAAGTAAACGGGTATCACTCCGAACTTTCACGCTTCTTCACTGCAAAGTGTCAAGCCCTCTCCCCCACGAAATCCTCCGCGACCCTGTTCACAACCTAGACGAAGGAGGTCAGGCTACCGCTGGGAATTCACGTCGATGACACACCAATTCCGACGGTGAATAACCCCAAAATACTCGGAGTAACATTCGACAGCCTGCTCTCCTTCTCTGCGCACGCAACCGCTATTATTAATAAAGTACAGAGCCGCAACAAGGTCCTCAAGTCGCTAGCCGGCAGTACTTGCGGCCGATCTTAAACTACGCAGCGCCAGTGTGGTCGCGGGGACAAGTAGGGCGCAGTGGACAAAGCTACAGACTGTACAGAACACCGCACTCAGGACAGCGATAGGATGCCCCCTGATGTCGCCCGAACGTCATCTCCACGGCGAGGCGCAAATGCTCCCCGTAAAGGAGCACAACATAATGCTCTGCAAGCAGTTCCTGATCGGGAGCCACAGAAGCGGCCACCCAAACAGACAGCTGCTTGCAGAGGAGCCCTGGCCTAGGCACGTCAGGAGGCATCTTTATGAACTGACGGACGAAGTCCAGAGGTTCATCAAGCAACCTCTGGACCCGTCAGCTTACCGACTGGACCTGAACGGCATTCACAGGGAGTCAGTCTCGAGTTATGTAGACTCTAGACCTGTGAATGCCGTTCTAGGCATACCGCCCCCGGACATAGACGAGACGGAGCTTCATCTGCCTCGGGAGACACGAACGACAATAGCCCAACTTCGCTCTGGCTACTGCAGCAGGTTAACCTCTACCTGAGTAGATTGAATGAGGATGTGCCAAATGAGTGTCCGGCATCCGGAGAGACCCCACATGACTCGAAACATCTCTTCGCATGCCCGGAAAACCCGACAACCCTAACGGCTTTGTCCCTGTGGACTAACCCAACAGAAGCTGCACGCTTCCTAGGGCTGCCGTTAGTGGAACTTGACGACAACGACTGAGATACCAACCGTCCTGGGCGGGGTTGTTGTTGCCGCTACAACAACAACACCATGGAAAATACGAGGAGCTAAAAATATGTGGACGAAAAAACAATGTGAAGATATAGGACGCTTAGAAAAATTACATGATAACTTCAACCTACACAAAAAACTGAAAGAATTTCGTAACACAAAAAAACGTAATAGCATAAATATTTTAACAAATAAAGATAATAAATTAATAATCGACGAAGTAGGAAAAGTCAACTATGGACGGATTATGTGAACGAACACTTCAAGGACGATTCGAGGGAAGACAGTATACCAGCTGGGGGCGTAACAGATGAAATATTTTTGGAAATAACAAAGTCAGAGATAACCAATGCAATAAAGACGTAAAAAAAGAAAAGAACGGTGAGATGTGAAGAAATACCAGCGGAGATAATTAAGCTAATTGACGGCGATGCTATGAATGTATTACTAGAAACTTTTAACTACATATACAAAACTGGAGAATATCCCCTCTCATTGCTTAAATCGACCTTCGTGACGCTTCCGAAGAAATCAAACGCAAAGCTATGTCAAGACTACCGGCTCATTAGTTTAAGGAGCCACACGTTAAAGATATTTATAAAAATTATGCATAGACGGATATATAACAAATGCGAGAAGGTAATGGGAGCGACGCAATTCGAGTTAAAGGAAGGCATGGGAACAAGAGAAGCGCTGTTCAGTGTACAAATGCTTGCCCAGAGATGCCAAGACGCCAACCAAGACGTGTTCTTGTGTTTTATCGACTACGAAAAGGCCTCTGACAGAGTCCAGCACCGCACAATAATAGACACACTAGAATCGATAGACATAAACAAATATGACATTCAATGCATTCGAAACGGCAGAAGTCAAATTCGGGGACAATAAAACAGAAGAAATTAGAATAAACAGAGTCAGGCAAGGTTGTATTTTGTCGCCGCTTCTTTTTCAACATTTATTCCAATAGGATTTTTGAAGATGCCGTACATGACAAGACTGGCATAACAATAAACGGCTCGCCTTTCAATAATATTCGATACGCTGACGACACAACCCTGATCACAAACAATTTAGCAGACCTGCAAAGAATACTGGACAAAGTGGAAAGGCATAGCAATCAATTTGGACTAGACATTAACATTCACAATACAGAACTTATGATAATAGATAAAAGTGGGCAAGACTACTCTAATGCTTATTCGACATTAAATAATACAAACATAGAAAAAGTAAAAAACTTCAAATATCTGGGCAGCTGGCTCAATGACAAGTGGGAATATGACAATGAAATCAACGGCAGTATAGAGGCAGCAAGAGCAGCATTTAATAACAAGGGGAAGGTACTCACTAGTAGAGATATAGCGATTAAGTTGAAAATAAGATTTGTTAAATGCTATGTGTGATCGACTCTCTTATATGGATGCGAAACATGGACACTAAAAAGCGCAAGCATAAATCGACTGGAAGCTTTTAAAATGTGGTGCTACAGCAGAATCCTAAAGACCAAGTGGACGGATAAAATATCTAATGACGCTGTACTACAAAGAGCGCAGACCACGAGACAACTGATAAAAGAGATAAAACAAAGAAAACTGCCTATTTAGGACATATTATAAGAGGGCAAAAATATGAAGTTTTAAAACTATTAATACAGGGAAAGATCGCAGGACGCAGAGTAGCAGGAAGAAGAAAAATTACATGGTTGGACAACATAAAAGAATGGGCGGATGAACTAGAGACAAAGCAAGGAACAGAAACGAATTGGAAAGAATAATAAAAAATATAAACTAAAAACGTTAAACGTATGTATGTAATCGCGAACACCCAGCAAATGGATACGCAGTACAAGACAATCCTTTTGCAAAAAATCCAAATTTCTCCTATTTTAAAACAGGTCCCAAGGGGTCTGTATATGTTTTTATATAGTGTCGTCCATCCTCTTTCGTTTAAGATGGATTTGGGGGCCACGCCCCCACCCCCTCACTCCCCCAAGATCGTTGTACAAATAAGCAAACATTTCCCGCTACAACAACAATAACAATAACAACAACAACGCAACAGGGGTCGGGTGTGCGTTTTTAGTTTGATTTGTGATGTTGTTGCTGTTGTTGTAGCGGCTACTAAGCCTGTTGTTGTTGTTGTAACAGCATACAAATTCCCCAAAGAGATTTTGGGGAGTGTTGCTGGAGTGGTGGCAGTCCTTGGCCAGATATATATCTATCTGGGTCGTTCCGGTTACGTAAACCCGACTGTCGTGGGAACGGAACGGGTTGCCTCGTTCGGGGCGGTGCATCCATCAACGTTGTCGTCTATTTCAGCTAGGGGGAGGCCCAGGAAGTGTGCTACTTCCACAGGGACAGGGGCGTTAGCCGAGTGGGATTCTCAGGGCATGTGAAGAGGTGCCGGGAGTCATGTGGCGACTATACACATGCCGGGCATTGGTTGGGCACATCCTCGTTGGTTCTGCTCAGGTAGCTGTTGAGCCCGCTGCAATAGCCAGAGCGATTTGTTCTCTTTCTAGTGAGTTGGATATCAAGTCACGTTCCTTCTCCCTCCGCATAGTAACAAAAAAAAAGTGGGCAAATAACTAAACTTGCCACGAAGTTCGACACATTGACCGCGTTCTGCAACTTCGACACAATCTGTAACATTTTTAAACCAATTTCTTTATTTGCGGTGATTAAATTTATTTCCTTTGTTACATTTAAAATAACAACGTTTAACCAAAACTGATGCGGGCGGTGCTGCAAGCCAAACCTAGTTAACTATATTTTATCAAAATATAAAGTATGCATGAATATGTGGGTACATAATAAGAAACGTTTTTTAATTATGCATTGTCTTAATACAAATGTTTTTCGCGAAAATTCTGACTTTCTTATAAGCAGTAAGTAAGCCACATAATCTAAATAATTGTATGCTTGTACACTTGTGAAATTAATTTATGTTTTTATTTATTCTAATGACCACAAAAGGCGATAACTATCTTAAACTTTATTATAATAGAGAATTTTGCCTGGTGAAAATTACTTTTATAAATATATTAGAAAAAACTAAAGTTCATGCTGGTGTACTTCTAACTTGCCACTGTTTACACAATAATGTTGTACGAGACAACGCTTACATTAAACATATGTCACTAGAACGACTCCTCCATTCCAACGTCTTGTAAAATGTTTAGTTGGCTTATAAATATCCGAGCATTTTACACTGTTCACTGTCACAGGAATGTAATTAAAATTTACGCCGACCTTTTAAAGACAAATTATAGACGACCAAATACCGCTTCAATTTTGTTCGCACTAGATAAAGGAACCCGCTGGAGCGTGCTGTAATTTTGTTGTACTAACTACAATAATTTTATTAATTGCGTCTTTATTTACTGTAGTAAAGAATCCGCTGATAAGAAAAAAACAAATTCCTTAAAAGGCGTAACAAAAAATAAAAAAACACGAATACTCAAGCTTTTTGGATCACGTACAGAAGAAAATCGTTGGTATAAATATGGCGGCAACATGTGGACTCTATTCCACAATAATTTTTAGTGATGCCAGAAGACAGTGAAAATGAATTTTGGCGCTCTTACACCCTGTTTACACCATGTAATATTAAAAAAGATTGGCGCGTATTCATAGTCCAGCCACTAAGTCGAAACTAATAAAGTTGCAACTTAAATTTAAGTACCAACTTAAAATTCACTTCTATTCATAATCGCATTTCAGACATCTACTAAGTAGTTTTAACTTAATTTTACGATATTGCAAAACGGGTGTGAAAATGTATCAACTTTTCTTTACGATATTTTGGAAATATGACATTTATATTAAATAATGTCAAGTTTGATCATCCGTTTATGTAATTTTTACTCTCAGTGCATGTTTATGCAAAAGAATAAGGTATAAGTTTCATGTTAATTGTGTGGAATAGCCAGAACTTCCGCAATGATGTGAACCCTGCCAGCCACGGCTCACCACTTTCCCCTAAAATTCAAACGATTTACTAACACATTCACAGCTTTTTAGTCATCTCACCCACACACTTACAAATTTTTTGTTCGAACTGTCAAAAAATGTCCCTTTGTTAGAGCTACATACCCGATAAGAATTCGTACTCTAACAAGAATTCTATGCGTTAGAGCGAGCAAGTTAGAAACATCAGAGTTTTGATGACAGTATACATACTGTGAAGAAATGTCACTACGAAAATTTTGAACGTAAGAATACGCNATACATACTGTGAAGAAATGTCACTACGAAAATTTTGAAGGTAAGAATACGTATTTAACAATTTTATTTAATTATAATGTAATTTCTTATTTTAGATTGCAAAACAGCAGCGACTTAGTCACATTCTTAAGGTATGTATTGAGACTTTTTATGTTTATAAATTTTAATTGATATTTTTGCTTGTTTACAGATTCACTATCAGCACCTTCAACGCTTGCATCTTCATCGCCAGGAGCACCATTAGAACCTTCTGCACTCAGCTTCTTCATCGCCAGGAGCACCACCAGTAACTTCTATCCTCAGCTCCTTCATCACCAGGAGCACCATGAGTACCTTCCGCAATCAGCACCTTCAACGCCAGGAGCACCTTCAAAGTGTAGGTCCAACTTGTCAAAATTTGCAAAGTTGTAAGAAAACTTAATTTATCTGAACCACCATAAATGATTTGCAACTGTTAATATATAGTGTTATGCAGCGTTTTTGCTGCATTTAAAATGCAACATTTAGTACTTTCGAACATATGTTTTCGAAGAGCGTTCATGCTATAGCATTTAGCAAATGTACATTTACGCGAGTTCGAAATCGTATGCTTTTG